AACAATTGGTTTGTGGTCCAACTAGTAAACCGGATCCCTCTCAGGCCAATGAGAGGGTGGGGCCCCTTATTCAAGACCTAGAGTCAGTACTTAAAGGAACTACCTCTCTTCTAACCCTAAAAGTGGGTAGGAGTGAATTCCATCTTGCACCCCACGTCCTCAGCCATTTACCCAGTTATACCCCTGAAATGAGAGGCCTATTGAGTTGGCGAACTTGAGCCACTCTCACCCATGTAAATCTAAGGATAATTCCGAATAAATAGAAGTTCATGGTTAGCTCAAGATTAAGATCGAGTTACTTAGGTCATCGAATGAAAAGAAAATCAGCCTCAACAGTAAACGACATTATAAAGTGAGAGTGATTTTCTTCATGGTCCGATCTTGTGCAATACTCATTGCATAGGATGCCCCCACTCACATGTCTCCACATGTAAAATTTAGTGATCAAATTGTTTATATCATATACAAAAATGGGTCGCATTCATAGTGTCCCAAGAATAAGGTATTCAGCCTTATCCTTATACTATAGATCATATTGACTATATACTTGAACTTGATCAACTCATATGTCTCTACATATAGTTCAAGTAATCATACTATTTCCAGAGTGTTCTTAGTTTATTGGATTTAGATTAATGATCGTAAAGTACACTTTATTCAATAGCAATCTTTACTGAATAAACAACAATAATAACTTTATTGAAAATAGAATATGTTTTTGTTTACAAACTATGAGTTTTAGGACATAAAATCCAACAATTATAACTTACCATGTATATCATATTTGATCTTTTATTATACGATATTTGTCTTCTAATACAACTCACCATAGGGTAATGTGCTTATAAACAATGTGAAGTTAACATGACAATAATAATAGGTTCTAAAGCACAAAAACATGTGGATAAATTTCAAATATTGAGGCGCATAAAAGATATGGACCAACAACTAATATTGATAGATCCACTACAAGAAATTTGGTCTAGTGTATGATTCTCGCTTCGGGTGCGAGAGGTCTCGAGTTTGATTCTCAAAATGCCCCCAACAATTATATCAAATTGAAGCATGAAATATAATAAGATTTGAAATAGGTTTTTTAAACCTTGAATCAAGAAGTAATTCAAATTGATATTTGGAAAGAAAAAAAAAGCTATATTTAATTATAATTTACAAGTGTCTTTATAACATGTTAATTGAAGAGAGCAAACAACAAGAATAAACAAACAAAGAAAATTTGTGTATGTATGATTCTCTTCTGGAAACTATGAGGATTCCTTTCCTTTCTTTACGTCAAGACTTACTTTTTCGGGACTTGGACCATTAACAGTCATCTACTCTTACTCCTACTCCCTTCTCTAAGAATCTACATAGCATAATCATTCAATGAAGGCCGAGGTAGTCTTATAAAAGAAGATGAGGGTACCACTTTCAAATCATTCCATGAGGACTTGAGAAAGTTTTGTAAAAGAAGATGAGAGTACCACTTTCTATTGCAGAATTTCTATGTGAATAGAGAATGAACAATATTCTTGGAAGATAAGATAGAGCCTCGAGCCTAACTTTAAAGGCATTACACAAATTGTTCTATGATATTTTTTCTAGGAACTCTTTGTTATGTTGTACGCTGAAGGTTTCAGGAAAGGGACACAGATTCTCTATTGCACTGATCTCCCAATAGAAGTTTTACCTAGGTCATATGTCGTCACAATCCTTTTAAGGAAGATGCACCAAAATAACCGGTGAACAATAACATTTAAAGAAGTTTTAGAGAGCAAGAAGAGGATTGTGATAGAAGTTGCTCTAGGTAAAATTTCTTTAAATGTCTTAGCCAATCATGACCTCATAATGAGGAGTCTCTTGGACAACAATAGCATATAGACAACAAATGTCTTAGCCAATTGTGACGGTCATGATTACTCAAGGCGTGTGGCCCAAATAACTGGTAAACAATAACATTGCCCAAATAACAACCTTGGACAACAAATCGTTTACAAGAATGGCTGAGACATGCAACATGCAACCACAGGAAACACGCCTTGGCCAATCATGACTGCGACATCTGCCCCCACACAATTTATTGGATGAGGCTGACTTTAGGTCTCTCGATGAGCTTCCAGCTGATCTCATATTGAGGAGTCTCTTCAAACCTACTGGGTGATGTTGAAAATCACTTCTCGGTTTGTTGAGTCTTCATGTCTTCTCTATTCGTGTCTTTCCTACTTTCTTCGCTTGAAACTTTTTCTTATTTGTATGACGTCATACCACCTGCTTATGCTTGATGTATTCTTGGTCAAAATAATAACGTTTCAAGTTACTAACGTGGACAACAAGGTTAGTCCGCATCCATAAGAGCAATTAGATTCTATATGATGTCTTCATAATCTTATGGATAACTTTAACTCATCCATAGTATTTTCACACTAGCCTTTGGTCTTGTTGCTTTGAACTCGAAGTTGATCTGATTTTAACTTATATGAACTCTTTATTTTTCTTGAAATTAGTGTGATTGACGCTTCCAACTGACCCTTCTCTTCATCCGCATAGATGATATTTCTATGTGAACATGTGTTGCTTCAGCGGTTTGTTTTTGTCTCCCTTCTTTAGTATCGGACCTTGTTTTTTGTTTCTCCTAGTGGGGATAAATCCATTATCTGATTATTTTTTTCATCGTGGTGTTTATGTAGTGGCAACAAGGTTTCTATTGAGGTTGGCTCACTCAAGCTCCCCTTTTCAATTACAACAATAGCAGCAAGCGTAGATTCATCATGGCTATGATTCTTTCTCAATTGTAGTATCGACATCATTTTCAACCCTCTTGGTTGATGGATGTTTTTCTGAATGATCATCGGGTTAGACTCCGTTACTACTAGTCATTTTCCTAGGGACATGTAAATTACTTTGTGTTTCAGTAGAACGTTCATTCCTGACACGATGTCAAAGTCATCCATTTCAACTATCACTAAACAATTTGCCAAGTCCAAGGCTTCAGCTTTATTAGAGTTCTCATTGTGACTCTTAAGACAGGCAAAGCTTCCAATTTGACGGCGTTCATCTTTCCTGTATCTTGATGCCAAAGGATGTTACAATATTTTGCATCGGTCTCCATCATGAGATGTGGGTGACTCTAGAATTTACAATGGTGTTTCTTACTACTTTCTTACTGTTATGAGCTGAAAGAAATGGTAAGCTATGTCGCTAAACGAAAAGAAAAAGCACATACGGGTTGACCTCATTACAAGGGGCGCGGGCTAGCCAAAGAAGGTCAGTCGAACTAGGTTAGAACCCTTGATCCGATTCAGCTAGATTCTTCCATGCAAGAATGTATGCGTATCGGTATCCTCTTTTTGTTTATACGTTTGGAGAAACCCGCTAAGCCTGCCTTTCTTACCAAGTGTGATTCAATCTTTCAGCTCAAACTTTCCTCTCGTCTGNAGAACCACCTTCCATGTACCATGATCACTCTATTTATAGAGTCATGTTTGCATGTTCATGCAAATTTGAGATCGCCAAATTTTGACACTCAAAATTTCACTCAAATTTGTGGAATTTATTTGGCAAAGATTCAAGTTTGGTTAAACCAAATTTTGACATCTCAAAATTCCATTAACATGGATTTTTCCATTAAATGAAGTCAACATTTTGACTTTCTTCATTTTGATACAACAATCAATTTGAATTATTAATTTCAAATTAAAGTAATATTAAATGATTAGTTAAACTATTTAATTAATATTTAATATTAATTCAAATGTCAATCCCAATTTAATTCCGACATATATTTGATTAAGATATTTAAATCTTATTTAAATATCTCAGATTCTCTCTTTTTGTTTAATTCGTAAATAAAACAAAAATGCAGTTAACCCATGACATTATGTATAAATCTAGGTTCATCAATAATCCATGTACCAAGTACCTAGAACTATGTGAATAACATGCTAAATAATTTGCAAGGATCCATACCCATAAGTAACCATTATCTGCCATTACGATGCGTACTAAAAGGCCCCTATTCCTCTTTAGGTAGGATGTCCTGCAATATGTATCATGAGTTGGATGTTATGATAGGCCTACCTTTCCTATCAGCTAAACGAGATGTCCTGCACCACGATTTACCAGTAGGATTACATGATTATTACGACACCACTCATGTGTTCATGGGGAGAAAATTGAAGGTTATTTTAGGGGAAGGTTTTCAGGATCAGTATATGATACATGACACGATGACCTCTTAGTTCTAACATCCGGAAAACATAACAAGAAGTAATATCCTAGCTTAAGGTCGCGGTTAAGAACCTACTAGTAGGCTACTTACTAAGTATTACTCACTCCATGTTTATCATTTTTTTTCCAAGTAACTAATAGTTGGCCGTGGATGAGAGCAGACTTTGGAGTGTGGGCCATGGACTAACCTCTGTTTTTAAAATAGTATTTTTTGTTCTTCTTTTGAGTTTGCTTCTTATTTTGTGTTTGTAATATGTAACACCCCAAACATGAAGAAAATTAGATCCCATAAGAATAAGCCACTCAGGAAAGACCGAAAGGACAGAAAGGAAAAAATTAAAGTTTTAAGCAAGAACAAGGGACTTAGTCAATTGAGTGCCCTAACAAGTGATTTCAAGGATTGGAAAGGAAAAAGTAAATGAAAAGGGCCAAAAAGTCATTTTATCAATTATAAAAAATCTTTCCCTATTTGTAATTCCTTACCTAGAAGGAATCTCAAGATTCAAAAATAAGGAGGAAATGAACCAAAAGCAATGAGGAATTTGTTGAAAAATTATGGATTTTTCGAGAAAAATAATAATAAAGTATTCGAAAAGTGGAAAATTACAAAAATACCCCTGGAAGAATGGATAATTAGTGAACTGCCACTAAAAGGCTATGATCGGAGTTGATATCTCCAAAAAATTATCCAGAAAGTTCGATCTCTAGATAATGAAGATTCTAGAGCTCTCAATGTCGGTTTAAGCTTCTTCGATAAAGTCTGAAGTAGAAGCAACAATACGGAATAAGAATCGAGAAAGGTTGATCCCCCAATCGAATGCAATAAGCGTTTAGATTATGGGTCTCCTACTCTCAGATTTCTTCCAAATTCAAGAGCAATCCTCCACCATTTCTCTTCGAACATCTAAATAACGAAGATTCTGGAGCTCTCAATTTTGGTTTAAGAATCTCCTATAAAGGCTGAAGTAGGTGGAACAATACAGAATAAGAATTGAGAAAGGTCGATCTCCCAATCGAAGGCAATGAGGGTTTAGAATATGGGTCTCCTACTCTCAGATTTCTTCCAAATTCGAGTGGAATCCTCCCCCATTTCTCTTCACACTTATTCCTATAGTTTCTCAACAAGATTACCAACAAGTTCTATGAAGGAATAGAGTGCTGAAAGTGCTCAGAAACTATTCCCTCAATTCAATCCGCCATTGACGAACTTCAAGAAAAACTTGAAAATCCAATTCGAGGATACATGATGACTCGTCGAGCAACAATGATTCCAATAAGTTTCTACACCTCCAAGGAATGCTTCCATAGAAGACCACGAAGAAAAATAACCTCGAGAGCCTACCGAATTGAAGGAAATAAGTTTCGAAATTAAATTGGGGATAAGAGTCGAATTTCTATCTACGATCTCTTTTCCTTCAAATTAAGGATTCCTCTAGCTTCAGAGGAAGAAGTTGAGTAAACTTGATGAAGGAATCGAGAGCTGAAACGTTGTAGAACAAGCTACCCAAGAGATCGAAAATCTG